ACCTTGTAAAAAACTTCAGTTACTCTCGAAGGGCATTAACAGCAATGAATGTGGAGTATCCTCCCTCTCCATCCTTTCCTGCGGGGAAGAGATATAAAAGATTCTTAATATTTTGATTGGTTTAAGTCCGTCTGTGCTCTTATGTCAGAGAAAAAATACGCAATCGCAGTTAAAGCAACCTTGAAACTTTCAGCAGTTCTTCTCGCGACCATTTCGAGGGATACCGTTGAAGAGGACGAAAAGCGTCAGTAAACTCGAGAAAGTCACTCAACCATAGTACGTCTACCTTTTATTGGAGGTTGTGTAAATGTGTGGAAAGAGAGAGAGAGGGATTATTCAGATGGATGTGCGGTTTATGTTCATGGTGGTGCTTCAGTGAAGCTTGTTTAACAAACAAATTTCAGAACTTCTTCTCACTACTGTTGTTGAGCCTTAGCCACCCTTTGATGAGAATTTCTTCATTCTGCTATACCCTCTCGCCCTCAGCTAGGCTTTGCCATCTCGTCATGTCAGCATCTCCCCCGAATCTCGCACTAAGCAGCGCCTTAAACACGTTGTCGCGCTTGCGGTACTACCAGATGTGAGCGAGGTAGCAATGTGACTCCTTGCGGCGGGTGCCTGACAGGAGGCCCATCGCGCGGCTACAAGGCGGAGTCAGTGGATGAGTCGCAGCGCGGACTGCAGTGACTTCGCGTCAACTTAAATCGAATGTACCATTATGCGCTGCAACTCGTTCGCTGACTCTGCGTTCTCGCCGCGCGACAGGCCTCTTGTCGGGTACTCCCTTGCGGCACACAATAGATTGTTGATGAGTGATCACTGCTCTACGAACAAGGGCACTTGGCAATCAGTGCGGCGATGAATTTCGTTTCGCTCTCTCTTCTATGTGGCCTTCTTCATCGTTCGCTTTTGCTCGTTGAGCATTTGGTCTCACTTCTGTTCTGATCTATGATGGCACGGAAACTGGCCGACCATGACCGCGACCCCAGCCAATGTTTTCGACACTACCTGAGCATATGTACGGAAGCATGCGCTTCATTCTTCAAACAGTTGCTAGAGAGACTAAGAAACAAGTAAGAGGACTATCTGCAGCTTGAAAAGTAAGGGATTCTTTGTTCCCTGCTCCTCTTATTTAGTGCATCCCTTAAACGCGTTCTTTCCACGATTTGAACATCAACTTCAACGTTTGTGAATCTTTGCACCAGAACCTGGCAGTATAAGCTCTTTGCAGTCAAAAACGCAGTTTTCGTTAGTGCTTCATTCATGGCTGGTCCTGATCACTTAAATCTTCCACTGAAGTTCAAGTAATGTTCGGGAACTGAAATCGATCATGGCATAAGAGAAATAGTCGTGTTTGTTCAGCTATGCTACTCTTGTTCTTATTCAGACATCCCATCCAGTGTCGATTCATCCGATTGTAGAGAATCGAAGGCTGCCCCATAGGCTTCATACACGATCTGCAATATTTTTATGCAGAAATTTTGCTTAATTTTTCTTTTTTTTCACCTTTCTCTTCTGTTACACCTAATACTAGTTCTTCTCATATGAGGAGAATCCCCTCCATGTCTCAGGAGGTTTTTGTATGACTGTGATCTTCCAATTCAATTGCTCTAACAAGTCTCCAGAGTTGTATAATATCTATTCCTTCGAGATCATCAATGAGATTTACTCCCTCAAACATTAGTAATTACTTACTTCCTTCGATACTTTGATAGTTCTTCAGCTGGCGATCTTCTCAGTGGTGACCGCAGCCTTCCATGCTTCTCGGTTCCTGAAGACTTGCATCCAATGTAGACCACGTTGTTTTAGATACTTAAATTTTGGTAATTATTCAGCATAAAATATGAGACCTCACAGTCAAGATGAACCAAGGAAGACATCGTCTTATTCGGAACGGTGCAGCAGGCAGGCACCGCGCGTCCCCACACATTTGATCATGCTGCGTAGGCGGCAGTTCTTTAATGGCATCTACTCAGCGTGGAAGCCGATGAACGCAGAACAGACTGAGACAGTACTAATAGACGTTCGATGGAATAGTGTGAAGGGAAAGTGTGCCGCCTCTAATTAATTGTTGTTAGTGCGCATCACTAAATGTGCGCGACGTCGCGCGGTGACCTTCTACAACACAATGGCGCGACGAAGCTTTCCAAGGCTTAGTATCAAATTCCTTACGTCTAGAGCGTGATAGGTTAGCAATAGAACCATTTGTGAGTGCTCGTGATCGAAAATCATTTTTAATGCTAGCAGATTTTTATGCATTATGTAGTAAACCTCATTGCTGTCAGGCTCTAGTTCAATTTTGCCAGCGCCAGTGAATTATCTCACAGTAATAGACCGCACTTGACGAAGCACAACGAATTCGCGATGGAATGGACCCCTTTGAAGTTGTCTAATAAGTTTGCACATATCACTAAAGTTTACTAGACCTCAGCTTCACCCGACTGATCACCATGCTTCTCACCAATCTGCTTGTCTAACTGTCCAGTGGTTCGATCGCTTTGTATGATGCAACAATGTGGTTTGAATAAATCCAGATTAGTGAGACCTCTCAGCCCCTCCCCTCCCCACCTTTTACCCTTCTATCGCTCCAGGCGCACTGCTGGGGGGTAGTTTCGATACCTAAGTTACATCAGCTGAAATCTATCAAACGCGTACTGGTATGAACTTTTGGGACGGCGAAAATCACAAGCTTGTGAAAATGAAAATTTCTCTGAATTTCGATAAATTTTATAGGAATTCCTTTCCATCTTCCCGAAAGGCTTAAAGGAGTCGTCTACGGAAAATTCTCGCAACCCTTCCCAACATGAATGCAGTGTTTGTTATCACTGGAGGGAAAGTACAGAGCTTCACGCAAGAAAGTTTAGTTTCCGAAGAGGAATAAACCTTCAAAAGTCACACTCTGAGGACGGTCATGCGGAGACAAGGGAGCGCATGGGAAGAACTTTGCCTTAGAGTAGCCATGTTTAAGGCGGTGCACTCTAAGAATCGGCATGAAGTTTTGAAGTTGGAGGAGAGGCAAAACAGTGAGAAGAATTTGATGCGACAGAAAAGAGAATGTTATTGTCAGTGACAAAAGGGCAAAAACTTTTTTAACACAGCCAATCCATGAAGAAACTGAAAGCGTTCCCGCCGCCAACATTTGTGTGAGATGTACGATGTGAATTGGATGTGTAACAGCTCCCCTAGTGTTTCGAATTGTTTACTGAAACAAATTTTCTCTTCTTCTAATTCTTTTCGTGGAGAGTGGCTCTCAAGCTGACGATTTTTGGGGACATATGTAGAATAGCGATTTTTCCTTTCGTGTATGATTACTTTAAAGCAACAGTCCAGGCAGGGTTTCAACTACTTGGTCATTAGGCGGTCAAAACATGCCCCAGCCCAACTAAAGTTTATACGAAATGTCTTTAAGTTCAAAACCTACGCCTAAAATGCGCTGGAAGGGGTCGAAGTCCTCTTGGAAGGGGCGGATCACTCATACCGAGGCGGATCGCTCAACATACGCTGTGCAGAGCCCGTGCTCGACTAGCGTCGTTGCGGGACCGCCACGACTGTATGAGGTCGATTCTATAAGAACGCAACTAACGCACTTCAATTACGATTGCTGGCAAATAGCCATGTATTTGCAAGCATGCATGGCTATTTGCCAGCAGTTGCAATTGGAGCGCATGTATGTACTGCGGGTAACCGTCCAACACAGGTCTCCCCATCGGTAAACGGCAGGGGGAGTCCCTGTCTAAGCCCCTGCCCGCATTTTTTCTACTTTTTTTTCTTCTCCATTGACCCAACTTCTCTGCAACGTCATTATAGGTGATCCTTACCCGCGAATTCGTTCCTGGATTGTTGCTTTAACACATTGCGGACCGCCCTTATACGAGCATCTCCATACCTTTTTCATGTTTTAAAAAATGGATCATCATTAATCTATCAACAATTTTACCAGTGATGATACTTATGCTTTCCTGGTTCTGAAAATGAGTGCAAGCACTCAAGAAGCATTGAAAAATGCCAAATAAATCTGATAAAACTATGATCTTCCGCTCCAAATCGTGCAACACATGGTGGCGCACGTGGTACGCAATGTGTTAATGTCATTCATAACAGTTGAGTGCCTCCTTCCGAGGTACGGCACTCCACGTAAGAAACTCACCAACGCATGATTGATAGTGTCGCTTTATCATTATATTTTAGTGAAACAGAGCTGGCAGCATAATTGTATCATCAAGTATTTTATTGTGCCGTCTCTTCCATGATGTTGCTTCGCATTCTTCTCTCTTGCATTTTGAAGGAGGCAAAAGAAAGGGTTGTTAACGCGCTTCATATTGCTTTGATCGGAATAAAGCGCAAACAATTGTCATTTCTGTTCTTAACACATATACTCTTCTCTTTGCATGTTTATGCAGTTGTTTTTTTTTACATTTACGTCGCTTGTTTTGATTTGTACCTTCTTGAGCACCGCCTTTTGGAAAGAGAATGTGTAAATTCGGAGAATTTCAAACCACTTCAGCTATTTTTGAATCGATATTTCATTCTGAATAAGTTTTTGCCATGCTGGTCTGTTTCAATTCCTCGAGTAGGTTCATTCAACCAGGTTCGGATTTCTAGACTGTCAGCAAGAACAACTGGTTCACAGGACCTGATTGATTTTTTGGGTCATATTTATGAGGAGGAGATTCAGATAAACTTTCCCATTTGGAAAGAGCAATTATCGTACTTACTGGAAAATCCTGCAGGTATTTTCTCAAGTTGACCTCTTATTGAGCCCTACCCGAAAACTTGAAGTTTACTTTCCATATTTCGTGAATGAAAAACCACAAATTGTTTTTGCCTTCAAGTGATTGAACACAAGTTTCACTTGTGTGAATTGAGGAAAGTGAGGGTGTTTAGTGTGAAGAATACTAATATGATGATGCACCAATTTTTTGCCTGATGAAGTATTAGGTTGAAAAAATTATCCGCCGTTTTCACTTCATTCAGAAGTTAATTAACAAAACCAAACAGAAACAATAAAATGCGTGATCAACATACGCTCTCAAACAGTCCTCTCTGCAACGTTGCTTTCATCCCGGCTTCATTTTTTCTACGAGCAGATGCAGAAGCACTCGCTTTCAAGCTCAACTTGCACTCATGAAGCATGAGCAATCATTTTTTGCCACGTGTAAGCTCCAGAGTGAAGTAAATACACAAGTGTTGTACAGAAAATATGCAAAAATATACAAAACTCGTATGCCGAATTATTAAATATACTAAATATACCAGTCACACGTAGCTCGTCCG